AATGGTGGACCCTGCATCCTTATATCCTGCTGAGATGGCCCCCCATGACAGCTAATGTGACATCACAGTCAGGGCTTCAGAGCACGGTAGAGGCTGCAGGTGTGGGGGGGAGCTGGAAAATTGAAGAGTGAGGGGGAGATAAAGGTGGGTTGATGATTCGCTGAGAAGAAAATAGAGTTGCCAACTCCAGGTGGAAAATTCCTGGAGATTTGAGGGATGGAGCCTGGAGACGGTGAGGTTTCAGAAGGGGTAGGACCTCAAACAGGTACAATGCCATAGACTCCACCCTCCAATCCAATCATTCCCTTCTGGGGAACCATTTTTGCCATTCTCCAGGTGGAGGCTGGAGATCACTCAGAACTACAACTGCTCTCCAGGAGGGAGGGGGGAAGAGATGGAAAGCTGAAGTCAGAGGGGCAGATAACGGTAGATTGATGGTTAGCTGGGAAGGAGATGGGGTTGCCAAGTCCAGGTTGGGAAATTCCTGGGTATTTGAGGGGTGGAGCCTGGAGAGGGAGGGGTTGGACCTCAGACAGGTAGAATGCCATAGACTCTATCCTTGAAACCAGACATTTCCTCCTGGGTAACAATTGTTGCCAATCTCCAGGTGAGGGCTGGAGATCACTCAAGAGTACAACTGCTCTCCAGGTAGCAGAGATCAGTTCCTCTGGAGAAAATGGTGGACTCTGTGTCATTATACCCTCCTGAGGTCACCACAGCAAATTGACACTGAGTGCCCAAGGTCGTGGAACTCTCCCAGAGCCTCTTTCTAGAGCTCATTGTATTTATTTCCACAACAGGCCATAATAATGAGGAGGAGGAGGAGATTGGATTTATGCCCCACCCTTTACTCAGAGTCTTAGAGCTGCTTACAATCTCCTTTCTCTCCCTCTCCCCACAACAGGCACCCTTTGAGGTAGGTGGGGCTGAGAGAGCTCCTTCGAGAACTGCTCTTGAGAGAACAGCTCTGAAAGAACTTGTGACTGACCCAAGGTCATACCAGCAGCTGCATGTGGAGGAGTGAGGAATCAAACCCAGTTCTCCCTGATTAGAGTCAGTGATCTTAACCATTACACCAAACTGGCACATTGCTATAGAAATAAATATTGAGAGACACAATGTAAGGCTCCTCTCTCACCAGCACCATCCTCTGGCCTTCAGCAGTTGCACCATTTCACTGCCCCAGCCTCAGAATAGGAAAGGGGGGGCACAGGGTTGCAGTACAGAAGTCCTCCCTCTCTTTCCTGGAGCAGTGTTCCTCAAAAGTATGGCACATGCCTCCTTTCTAGTCCTCCTTGGCCTGGTTGTGCAACCACCATTTATGCTTCCTCTCTGCCCAGCCAACCAGCCCTAGCCTCTGCCCCTGTGGCCTGAGCCATTACCTGGGCCAGGGGTTAAAGCAGCACTCCCCAGTCTCCTCCTCCATCCTTGTTAGCCCTTTACCATTCACTCACTGGCCAGTTCCTATGAGGCCTTC